ACTAGAAACTAGACACTAGACACTCAGACACTCGACACTCAGACACTAGACACTCGACACTCGACACTCAGATACTAAACACTAGACACTAGACACTCAGACATCCAGACCCTAGACACACAGACACTAGACACTCGGATACAAGACACTCAGACACTAGACACTCGGACACTAGACACTCAGACACTAGACACTCGACACTCGACACTCGACACTCGACACTCAGACACTAAACACCAGACACAAGACACTCAGACACTCGACAGTCGACGTAACTCGACACTCGACACTCGACACTCAGACACTCGACACTCAGACACTAGACACTCGACACTCGACACTCGACACTCGACACTCGACACTCGACACTCGACACTCGACACTCGACACTCGACACTCGACACTCGACACTCAAATACTAAACACTAGACACTCAGACACTAGACAGTCGAAACTCGACACTCGACACTTGACACTCGACACTCGACACTCGACACTCGACACTCGACACTCGACACTCGACACTCGACACTCGACACTCGACACTCGACACTTAGACACAAGACACTCAGACACTCAGACACTAAACACCAGACACTAGACACTCAGACACTCGACACTCGACGTCACTCGACACTCGACACTCGACACTCGACACTCGACACTCGACACCCGACACTCGACACTCAGACACTAAACACTAGACACTAGACACTCAGACACTCGACACTCAGACACTAGACACTCGACACTCGACACTCGACACTCAAATACTAAACACTAGACACTAGACACTCCGACACTTGACACTCAGGCACCTAGACACTAGACACTCAGACACTAGAGACTCAGACACTAGACAGTCGAAACTCGACACTTGACACTCGACACTTGACACTCGACACTCGACACTCGACACTCGACACTCGACACTTAGACACAAGACACTCAGACACTCGACACTCAGACACTAGACACTAGACACTCGTCACTAGACACTCGACACTCGACACTCAGACACTAAACACTAGACACTAGACACTCAGACACTCGACACTCAGACACTAGACACTCGACACTCGACACTCGACACTTGACACTCAGATACGAAACACTAGACACTAGACACTCTGATACTCGACACTCGACACTCAGACACTAAACACCAGACACTAGACACTCAGACACTCGACACTCGACACTCGACGTCATTCTACACTCGACACTCGACACTCGACACTCGACACTCGACTCTCGACACTCGACACTCGACACTCGACACTCAGACACTAAACACTAGACACTAGACACTAGACACTCAGACACTCGACACTCAGACACTAGACACTCGACACTCGACACTCAGATACTAAACACTAGACACTAGATACTCAGACACTGGACACTCGGATACAAGACACTCAGACACTAGACTCTCAGACACTTGACACACAGACACCTTTTTGGCCTCAGTTCCGTCGAACCCAAATGTACGAAACAGATATATCATCACTTTTATTTGACTTTGGCACAGACGGCATGCACGTTATTTACCCTAAAGCCATACAGTTTCCAGCAAAATTCAATTATGGTACGGCTGAAAAAAGGATGTTGCCCTTAGTTTTGTCATGAGCATTCACCGTCCATAAAATGCAGGGCAGCACCGTCGACCATGCAGTAGTATATTTGGGCTCAAAATGGTTTGAGGAAGGACAAGCATACGTGGCTCTAAGTCGAGTCAAGTCTCTGGAAGGGCTATGTATTGAGGAATTAGATTGTACTAAATTATCAGGTAAGAAACCATGTAATAATGATGCACTGAATGAATTAAATAGAATGAGGAATATTCGGTAAACAATTTCACTAAATACTAAAAACAAGAAAATAAAAATCGGTAAAAAAAAAAACTTTTAAGTTAAACGGTTTTATTTTATGTGCACTGAAAACTACAAAATAAATAAATAGTTACTTACCTATCAACCTACGTAGGTGATCTCGGTCATTAATATCTCTGATGGTAGTGGTTGTCATAACATGAACCATGTCACCGGCCGAAAGGCAGTTCATGAGAGAACACTAACACCAGGGTTTGCTTGGTAGGTAAACTAAGCAGCCCGCACTATAACAAGTAGGTATTTTGACCTTCTAGTTCAGAAATATTTTAGTACTAGGCAGAATAGCTTTTAGGCATATTAGACTAAAATAAAAACGTGGGGCCCCTCTGAAATCATACCTATAGCAGAGCATATCTTATACTTTGGTAGATCATGAGCTCGGCGTTCGCTGGTGAAGCCGTAACGGCTGGTTATTGATGGTCAAAACCTCCAGTTACGATTATAGTAAGTCGATTCAGCGGACCATGGACTCCGGAGCTATGAGGTTTCGGATGCGACCGGGATAAACCGCTAGGATGATGATGATGACGATTATAATAAGTGGATGCAATTCACACTTAGTATAGTAGAAAGTAATACAGAAATAGTTAATGGGCCCCACGTTTTTATTTTAGTCTAATATGCCTAAAAGCTATTCTGCCTAGTGCTAAAATATTTCTAAACTAGAAGGTCAAAATACCTACTTGTTATAGTGCGGGCTGCTTAGTTTACCTACCAAGCAAACCCTGGTGTTAGTGTTCTCTCATGAACTGCCTTTCGGCCGCTGACATGGTTCATGTTATGACAACCACTACCATCAGAGATATTAATGACCGAGATCACCTACGTAGGTTGATAGGTAAGTAACTATTTATTTATTTTGTAGTTTTCAGTGCACATAAAATAAAACCGTTTAACTTAAAAGTTTTTTTACCGATTTTTATTTTTAACAACCCCAGCTGTAGCCTAATTGTAGACTATAATATTTTGTGATGTTGATGACCTTTGCCTGTATTTTTGTCAGGTGGGCCGTCAGCTTGTTTGCTATTAAAAGTTACATAAAAAATACTTATGTATATATGTATATACATCCATACAAACAAATAGTTACCAAGTTTCGCGCCTCCATCTCGGAACTTCGAAACGATCCGAGATTGAAAAACATAAAATCGAAAGCAGTCTCGCACGTAATTTGCCAACGGAAAAATTGTCGTGGAAAATTGGAACGAGGAATACTTGAATTCTCCATTGCGGGAGCGATCCTTGAATATTAATAGCCGATTTTTTTGGGAAATCTGAGATTTTTATCAACAAAAATATACTGTTACACGATTCGACTTTTCAGATATTTATGGTGGTCAACGGGAAGTGGGAAGTATCTTGTTTAATGTTAAAGTAAAAAATTTGCGAAGTTTTTTTTGTTTTTGAAAAAAAAGAACAAACTTGCGGCTCGTGTAATTAAAACTGTTACCGTCTAAAAATAAATTTCTTCAGAAACGCATATTTAGTTACGTACAGATGCTGTGGTGTTTATTTACTTATTTAACACTTTATTGTATAGATAATACAGGACTTGTTAAATAGTTTTCCCCCATAGACTGCCATAAAGAACGGTCCTGAACCACCTGCATCCACTGCTAAGTAGTTAATATATTTAATTTTTTGTCATTAATTAGAGATTAACAGTATGTTTATAAAAGATTTATTCTGTTTTTGTTGAAAATTCAAAAATTTCCATTTTCTCTATTTGTGTTCTATAAGTGTTCTTTGGATAATTTTGAAGAAAATGGCTGAAACATTTGTTACATTATACTTACACACAGAATACGTATAATAAAATTAGATATATAACAAAATAACAACATTTCGTAACAAACTTGAAAGTAATAAAACTTGAAAAGTAATATACACCGCTGGTAGGACAATTAAAATTGCACTTTATACAAATGGGCTTACGACAGAGTATATCTTTATGGAATTTCAAACATTGATTTGGCATTACATTAAAATTCTCCCAATGAATTTTGCGAATTTGCTAGAGGCATACCCCCACTTTGCACTTCTTTCAGCTCTGTGCAGTTCTGTAATGGATTCAATTTGATCGTTTGTTTGTTAACTTTACACATTTAACTGGGACGTAACTTTTGAAGCAGCGTTGCTTTGTTTATCGTTTCGTATCCTACTTTCATTTCATTGTCATTCATATACAGTTTCTTTATTTACTTATTTACTATATACCTACCACTTTAGCTATTAATTGTCTATTAATATAAGTCTCTCCCAATAAGGGGAGACTTATATTGATATATAAGTCTCCCCTTATTGGGAGAGTTTCACCAGATAAGTTTTGGGAGGGGCCTTGTTGTCTAACCCCTGACCGTTAAGTTCCCTTAGTCGCCTCTTATGATACCCACGGCAAAGGAAGGGGTGGTCCAATCTATGCTGGGACTGCAGGACGGTTTATTTATTTATTCGTCTTTAATTGTGTTTAAGTAGTGTCAAAGGCAACAATATTCGGCAATGCGCACGTAATACCTCTCGTATTGCAGGTATAGGGTCATATGCTTGTTTGGTGGTAAAAAAGTGTATTACTACCAACTATTACCCATTAACTATTACCCATTGTTTTTATACCGTCTGTGATATAAACAACAAAACGCATGCACTCACTTACACACACACGCGCACACACAAACACACACACACACGCACACACACAAACGCACACTACACGCACACATACACGCACACGCACGCGTATGCGCATGCACAAGCACATGAATACGCACACACACACACACGCACACACGCGCACACACACACACACACACACACACACACACACACACACACACACACACACACACACGCACGCACACGCACACTAACACGCACACATACACGCACACGCACGCGTATGCGCATGCACATGCACATGAATACGCACACGCACTCACACATACACACACACACGCGCGCGCGTTATTTGTGTGTGTGATTTTATTGTTTATTATTCGATAAAAGATTATTATTATACATATTATATCCAACATGTCATCTTAAATCATCCAAAACAGAATACATCATACAAAGGAATTTTATATGTTTAAAATAAAACAACAAAACATTAAACATTAATTATAAAACACTATTTAATTTCATTTGTCTATGTACATAATTTAAAAATTAAAAATATAATAAATAAGGCACTTTGATTATTGTTAAGGTATATCACATCTTTGGTTTGGTCGACTATTTATAGGCACCAAACGGTTTTTTTCTATTCTTATCTGTTAATAATAAATAAAATGAAATAAACAGTCCTTCTGCGAAGCGAACGGTATTTAAGAATTTCCTTTTAAAAAAAAACACTTCAAACGTGACATAATTATTGTAACCGATACGAAAGTAAACTTTATCTATTTTAAAAATCAGTGATTATCTTTGTAATTGACAGGCTTTTGTCCTGTGTGTATTTAAAAAAAAAATACTTCACACTGTTGCATGGATGGATAATAAGATTTCATGTAAAAATGTATTACACAAGTTATACCGGAGTCTTAGCAAAATTGATTCTTAACTTTATGAATGTAGGAATCAAATTGTATTGACCACGTTTGTTTAGAAGAAAATAAACTAAAGTTGTCAGATTATGGCCAGTTTTTCCCACCACACTCACAGTCACTCACATTTTGTTTTTTTTTTTATGTATAATAACAATTTTTTTATAATAAAGCTTATTTGTCATTTCTTGTTAAAATATAGATTTTTAATAGATCCTTGTTTTTTGTGATACTGCTGAACTTTTGTGTTAGGTTTTATTTCTAATACCTATATTTTTTTCATAAATTTACTAACAATATTTTCGACGATACCTTAGATTGAAATACAAAATTTAATTATGTGTTGTTGGAATTAGAATCCAATTTTCAATGTACATAACGATGTGTTGACTTAAAAATCAATGAGTCGAAAAAAATCTATACATATATTCGATAACACTTTAAAATTAAGAAAATAATTAATGTTTTTTTTTTTTTTTTTATGTACAATTCTTATGCAATTTTAAATATCACATTTTAAAGGAAAACATAAATGTACAACAATATCGACCGAACGTTGTATAGTACAATTATGAAGTTTTCTTGAAAGTACTGTAGTAGATATCGTTGAAAACAGTTTTCCGCTTAGAAAAAAAATCAGTACATATCTCAGAATTTAGAGACTTTTTCTTCCTCGTTCTTATTTCCATTTTCTGTAAAAAAAATATGTTATATTATTAATATGTCTTTATACATTAGCATTGGTACATCGAATTAAAATAACACATGCATTTTAAAAACCAAATTAAGTACTCGGAATATATTAAAAAATAATAGAAAAGATAATTTAAAGGCTTTTCGTGGAGCAATTACTAGTACTGAATCATTAGTATCATAATCAGTCGCTCCACCGTTGACAATAGGCCACCTCCATAAGGGGGATTTTTCAGCAGTTATCTAAGGGAGACTTTGTACAAAAGTCATTTGCTTGGACGCCTCTGTCCCATTCATGTTTCTACCGTAAAGCAGTTGTGTTTACATGGCTGTGTTTCGGTTTGAAAGGTGGGATATGGCTCGAACTTACTGGGTATAGAGGAATAACACCTGAGTCCTCAGGAATGGCAACGCATGGGGGATATCATGGTCGAAACAGTATACTCTGTTATGTCTATGGTACTGCTCACGTCTTTAGATGACGGTTACCACTTTCCATCAGGTGGGCTTGTTTGTCGTTCTAAGTTGCATAGAAAAAAGTTGCCACGCTTGACGGGCAGGTTGGCAACCGCAGTTAGGCTTTGGTGATGTTTTAAGAGGGACGCTACTGGCCATCCCTCGACTTTTATGTTCCCTTAGTCGTTTTACGAAACATACGGGAAAAGATGGGGCGACCTATTCTATTCCGGGACTACACGTCAACTAATACGAGGTTTGTCCGGAAAGTACGTATAAAAGTTTTTTAAAAATTTTATTTTACAATTATTCAGGTAAATCAATTTTATCCCCTTCAAAGTACTCCCCCTGTGACATAATGCACTTGTGCCAACGCCGTTTCCACTGTGAGAAGGCTCCTTGAAAGTCCTCTGGTTGTAGGTTTCTCAGCTGCCCCGTCGTAGCTTTTTTTATCTCATTTATGTCCCCCAAATGCCGCCCCCGAAGTACCAATTTGGTTTTTGGGAACAAGAAGAAGTCACACGGGGCCAAATCCGGCGAATAGGGGGGTGTTCGGTCACCGTAATGGAATTTTTACTCAAAAACTCACGGACAACAAGAGAGGTGTGGGCAGGGGCATTGTCGTGGTGAAGAATCCAACGCCCCTCTCGCGCCAATTCTGGACGAACTCGTGCCACACGAGCTTTGAGGCGTCTGAGCACATCGACGTAGAATTTTCCATCAACTGTCTGGCCTGGAGGGACGAATATGGACAATCCCCCGAACATCGAACTCTTTCTCGGCCCTCTCTGAATCTTTTTAGCCACTTGTGGACGGTGGGTTCCTTCACAGCATCATCCCCATAAACTGTTCTGAGATCGGCAAAAATTTCACGGCCATTCTTGCCGAGTTTCGAGAGAAACTTGATTACGACGCGCTGCTCTTCAACGGAAGCGGGCTCCATGCCGACGGGGTTTCGTTAAGAGGTAACTTCACAGATGGCGTGACAAGCCAGTTCGCACCGCACGGCGGTCAGACCAGAACTGAAGCATTGTTAGGGACATAAGGAAGGGGTCCTGCGCTTACCTGGCCTCCCCACTCCTCTTTCTCGCATTCCAGAACACTTTTATACGAACTTTCCGGACAGACCTCGTATTTAATATATTTAATTAATAAACTTAAATTATACGACCTCTTGTTAAAGTATTTATTAACTATGTTAATATAAATACACAACAAATTAGCTACCTACATCAAGCATTGTTTTTTCACTAAATAAGATGTTTATACTGTTTCCTTAGGGACAGAATCGAATTCAGTGCTGTCTTTTATCATTACCTTCATCATTAGTAAAGCCAGAGACGGTCATTAATGAGAGACATTAGCCGAATAACATACGTAATTTAGCTCTTTGTGTGAAAATTCCCTAGATAAAGAATATAATTGTGTGATAAATTGGCCGTGTCTCAGAAGTCAAATACCTCTACCTCGTATTTGGCCAGCAGATATTGCTTTTTTTATACAACTTAGAATGGCAAACAAGCTGACAGGCCCACCTGATGGAAAGTGGTAACCGTCGCCTATAGACATAAGCAGTACCATGGACATAACAGAGTATACTGTTTCGCCCATGATATCCCCCATGCGTTGCCATTCCTGAGAACTCAGGTGTTATTCCTCTGTACTCAGTAAATTCACGCCATATCCCACCCTACAAACCGAAACACAGCCATGCAAACACAACTGCTTTACGGTTGAAACATGAGGTACCCAAGCAAACGAATTTTGTACAAAGTCACCCTCTGGTTGCTTAGAGGTATTTGGTTTGCAAATGTTGCTGTGTGCAAATTATGTTGTGACCAAGAGCCAGTCGCGAAATTCCTTAATAATAATATAAAGAAATATGAATAAAATACATTGTGTATGCCCATTATATTAGCTACAGGTAAGGTTTTTATTAAGCCAGTAAACTCATCCCCCTCCCTTCTCCCACCACCTCCATTTAAATTGATTTCAAACTTACCTTCATCATCATCATACGCTGGCTCGTTCCATTTCTGTACGTCGCCAGTGATGAACAATATATAGAACAAGTTGCCGAGGAAGTACATTGATATTGATATAAAGAATACCTTCCGCCATTCCGATGCTTCCGTCTGGGAATTAAAAAAAAACAATTAGATCAAGCTAATCAATTTAATTAATTTAATTAATTCTATATCAGTATAATTCGCTGTAGTATACAGGATACTCTCAGTTCCTTATATGCCAGTTCGATTTACAATCCTAATATATCTCTCAATTTGTTTTTATGCAACTTAGAACGGCAAACAAGCTGACTGCCCACCTGATGGTTATTGACTACCATCGCCCATGACACAACATCAAAGGCATTGCAGGTGTATTGCTGGCCTTTCTAAAAGGAATATATTTTTTTCTTAAAGGTTATAATGTAGTATCGATTCGGAAATACTGCTGCTGGAAGTCGATTCCAAAGAGTGGTTGTGCGTGGATGAGAGTGTCTTGAAAAAAGCACAGTGGAAGACTGCCACTGTTCCAGATGGTAATGATAGTTAAAATGCACTACAATTTATAGAACCACTTTTATCCTTACCTGATCTCGCACTACAGCGGAGACACTCAGAGGAGCCATAATGGAAAAAATGCCAGCCACTGCGTTCGTTATACCCATTAGTGTACTGGCGAAATTAGGCGATAGGTCCAGATGTGACAGCTGCAAAATTAATATACAATTTTAACTGAATTTAAACAGAGTAATGGAGGAAAAAGAGACTGCTAGTAATGGGGATTAGCAACCTCCTCGCAGTTCCCCCTGGAAACCATCGTGGCCGATAGATTGGTGAATTTATCACGATGGGTTTTTTTACGTACTATATAGGATGATGAGGAGCAATGGCTATTTTTTGTTCCGAACAGTGAATCTACTCATACGGACGCAGACACAAATAAAAGACAGCAGTCTATACAAAAAAGAGTAAAATATTCAGTGGAACTTACAAATTCTTACTTTATTGAGATCGGTTAAAAAGAATACGTTACGATGGTATGAAAATGTAAAGAGTATAGTGAAGTAGGCTTGGACTATTGGATGGATAGCTCTAGCTGAGACAAGAGCCAGGAGTTATTAAAATGAGGTTGCTTACATGAGACGTCTTACGAAAATGGATTAAACGATAGATGTATAAGAATTGACATATAAATTCATCTAGTTTGTGAAACAAATAATTACAGATAGAGTCTCAAAAAAAAACCAACCTTAATTGTAACAAATCTAGTTATTTTGATTTTAAATACTAAAGAACTAAACTGATTTTGATAAAATGTCTTTAGGGCTCAATTGTTACTACATTCTTTGAAACAAAAAATAAAATGCGTTTTCCAAATCGGTTTACAACTGACGGAGTTATAAGGTAACAAACATAAAAAAAATAATCAATTGAGAAGCTTCTTTTGAAATTGGTTAAAAACCTATTAAGTCAAAATTAGAAGCAATAGAAAAACTTTACTAAGGCGTTGAAGATAATTAAACAATTTAAAATACTATTCTATGTTAATAAGCAAGTTTTAAAATATAATTTGAAATTGTAAATCCAATTATTAAAAAAAAAAAAACTAACGACCGGATTTGTAGAGGTAGATAAATAAAATCCGTGTTAATAGCTTTCTGCAGATGAAAGACTTTTTTTGGTCCTTCCTGAGTTTATTTATTACAATTAAAAAATAAAATCCCTCCTCTATTTAATACTCGTAATAGATTAGATTAAATTTTCCATTTTATTCCAAATTCTGATTTGTTCGTTTCCATTTATAAATTTCACATTAAATTTACTTATTTATAGCGGAAAGTTTCAAAATCTTGTGCCTTGCAATCAGAATGTTCAACTTTTAAAATTTATCAATTAGCTTGCAATATTGTTTCCGTAAACAATGATAGCCAATTACAAAGTTTGACAAGTTAAATAAATTGATTCGTCTGAATCTTCTCTCTTATAAATATAACTACATATTACAATATATCATATCTTAGTAATATCATAAAATTGTAAATAAACGAAAATTGTAAGAAACAGTGAGATTAGAGAGAAGTGTGGACTGAAAGACGATATAGTGGCAAAAATCGAAAAAGGAATGTTGCGTTGGTTTGGTCATTTGGAGAGGATGGATGAAAGAAGAATTACGAAAGAGATTTATCGAGCAAGAATGAATGGAGATGTCGGTAGGGGCCGCCCTAGACGGACGTATGTTGACCAAATAGGCGACGTGCTGAAGAAGGGCCAAATTAAAAGTACCCGTAACCGGCGAGCGTGTATGAAAATATTGATGAATGTGGAAGAAGCGAAAGAGGTTTGTTTGAATCGAAGCATTTGGCGTTCCATTGTTTCTGCCTACCCTAATGGGAGACAGGCGTGACATATATGTATGTATGTATGCATGTAAATAAACGATATTTGTATGTCTGAAAAATTTATGCGAGAGGACTTTTTAAGAGCAATAAAAGCCAAACCAATCTTTTAAAATTTTCTCTATCTGTCTGTATATATTTCGATATCATGCAAAAACCACTGCATCAAATTGGATGCAGTTTTCATTATTCCGTTTCTATAGGTCTAATTTAAAATTTGATGTATATTGTATCTTGGTATTCATACTCATTCTACAATCCACGCAAATAAAGTAATCGGCAAAAAATTATAGTTAAATTTCAATACGATATTGTTAACTATGGTTGCTAACTCTCGTGCCAACCGTGGTTACTACAAGCAAACCCCATTCGAGGGGAAAGGGATTGTTAGTAATGGAGACTGAGAATCCCATTGCTAGCAATATACCTAACCAGGTCGACGTCCTCGCGCGGTTCCCCTGGAAACTATCATGGTTAATTCCTGATGAATTCATCATGATGGGCTAACTGGCCTGTTTTCATTCTCATCTATCACCCTTAACTGGTGCTCCGCCAGCGTATCCCGTTAGCGCAGGCGGGGTACCATACCATTTTCAGCCATCAAAAAAAAAAGGAAAGCAAACCCCATTCTACAGCCAGAGCGTTCACAGAAGAAAATTTCTCTGAAAATGCACTTATTGGCGACCGGCCGGTGCAAACTCTTTAGACGTTATTATACTTTTTTATATACATTTACTTTTAGAATGTTCTTATTATTTGTAATTTCAATTTTATATTTTTTGACATATATCATATTGTTCTGTTCTGTTCCTTGCTTGCTGTTTAATACATTTTTTTTCGCTACTAAATTCCGTGTCTACATCGTCTACATCATTTCATCACCTCATCACAGTCCATCGCTCCGTAATAGCACTGTATGTGACCATTTAGGTTCAAGTATGTAAGGATGAATTTCCTGTCGATAGCGATCGGTGCGGTGTTACAGCATATTCTGTATTGAAATGGTGTCATTCATTTAATTTATGGGTGAAGATTATAAACTTTCAAAGATGGGCCCTTAACTTTTCACTTGCTCGTTACCTACCCTGGATTTTAATTCACATTTCTAAGTAAATTCACTAGCATACAGAAACAGTATGATTACAATCTGAAGCAACAGGTAGATGAGGGAAGAAAGGGATTGTTAGCAATGGAGTTGGACAGCCCCATTGCTAGCAATATGCCTTATAAGGTCGATCTCCACGTGGTTCCCCCATCAAACCATCGTGAACAATTCTTATTGAATTCGTTACGATGGACTAACTGACCTGCTTTATCCTCACCTATCATTATTCACTGGTGCCCCGCTGATGTATACCGATAGCGCGGGTGGGGCTACCATTCCATTATCACTAATAAAAAAAAAAAACTAGTAGATGAGACAAAGAAACTAAAAGATGAAAGAAAGTGAAAGATTTTATTCCATTTAATTTGCCGTTTTGTTACTGTACTCCTTTTTTGTTAGCCTCGGTACTAACCTCTGGTAACTTTGGCCTAAACAGTGATTTGGCCAAAGTTACCAGAGGTATCATGTTAGAGAAAGAGTTTGCCTAAAAGTTGGATGTCAACTCACCATAAATCCGACGTAATGTGCGCCGTTCAGACCCACGGTGATCGTAAGTATGACGACAGCCAACGCTAGATGGCCTGGTGGTAGATACGATAAGACTAGTAGCGCTACTGCTGGACCCCAGAATGCTGGAAAAAGTTTTATTGAATTTTGTAAATACGAGTAATAAAAGCAATTAAAATTTGAAACGGCTTTGCCTGCACTTACGTGAATAAATACATTTTTGATTTCGTAATATTGTACTGTCTAAAAATTTAGAGAAACTGTAATTATTAAAAAATTTACAGCTTTATCACTACCTGCAATCTCTTTCAGGCAACCTTTACACCAAGAGATATCTCATTCAGAAAGGATGACCTCTTTTAATTTCTTGTAGCATTACGGATAAGCCTCCCCCTTGGGAGATTTTGCCAATAATTACCACGTTTAGCGGGCGGGTTGGCAAACGCAGTTAGGCTTAGGGATATTTTGAGAGGGACGCTGCTGCCCATCTCTCGCTCTCCTTAGTCGCCTCTTACGACACCCACGCGAAAGGAAGATGTGGCCTATTCTATGCCGGGACCACACGGCTATTATATATCATCTAGGTATTATTATCTCACGCCACTGTCAACTTACTATTTATTAATCATTAGCAATTAACAGAACAAACATGGGGGGAAAGGGATTGTTAGCAATGGAGTTTGACAGCCCCATTGCTAGCAATATGCCTTATTAGGTCAACCTCCACATGGTTCCCCCTGGAAACCATCGTGAACAATTCTTGTTGAATTTGTCACGATGGGCTAACTGACCTGCTTCATACTCACCTATAATTTTTCACTGGTGCCCCGCCGGTGTATACCGATAGCGCGGGTGGGGTTACCATTCCATTATCATCCATTAAAAAAAATAGTACAAACATAATGCTAAAAATGTTCGTCGTATTTAAAACTTGCATTCAAGTTTATTGTAAACAAATTTCTGCAGAATAGAATAGAAATAAACTTATAATTCTTTTCCTTAATGTTTTATTCTGTTAATTTTCTTAATTATATAATACCAGAGGGAGACTTTGTACAAAAGTCGATTGCTTGGGTACCTCTGTCCCATTCGTATTTCAACCGTAAAGCAGTTGTGTTTGCATCGCTGTGTTTCGCTTTGATATGGCGTGAATTTACTGGGTACGGAGGAATAACACCTGAGTCCTCAGGAATGGCAACGCATGGGGGGTATCATGGGCGAAACAGTATAGTCTGTTATGTCCATAGTACTGCTCATGTCTATAGGCGACGGTTACCACTTTCCATCAGGTGGGCCGTCAGCTTATTTGCCATCCTCAGTTGCATAAAAAAAAACCTACTTGTACAACAATTAGTCCATTACCCTAAGGTTGTCTTGAAAAGATCGCTCTCAGCAATAAGACCGCCTTACTGTACTTATACAATTGTATCGTTGTGTTTGTAAATTGTCCTGTTTTTCCGCTATATTGTATAATGCAAATAAAGTATATTCAAAAAATAATCTTCTTTCAAAATGGACTTGTATACAAGCTTTTTTAAATAGACAATTTTTATGAATCCACTGCTAGCTTCGAAGTATTGTTATCTGCTGTAAAGAACCCGCAAGAAGCTTAACAGTTACTCTTTCCAATTCGTTTATGTACAAGAGTATATTTGTATAGGTATTGTGTGGTACAATAGGTATAATAACTTTACAATGAAATTTTCTAGGTTCATTTTCAAAAATTTGTTAAAAATATAATTACTGTGTAGTTATACATAAACTTACAGATTACTTAAACCACAATCGTTTAACTATTGAACTTATACAGTAAAATAATTATGGTATAAAACAACAATTGCTTACCGATTGTGTTAAAAATCTTCCTGGAAGTCACTTTACTAATGATATTTCTGTTGACAAGAAAATCAGCAAGCCAACTGAATATAAAGCTTAAAAGATACATCGCTAGGTACGGCAAGGCGGATAATAGCCCATTCTGTAAAAAAAAAAAAAAAAATATGTAAAATATATTAAAATGATCCAGAAATGAGTATGACCCTTGATGGTCGAAATAAATTATATTTGTTATTGTTACTATGATGTAACAATCTTTTTTTATACAACTTAGAATGGCAAACAAGCTGACGGCCCACCTGATAGAAAGTGGTAACCGTCACCTATAGACATGAGCAGTACCATGGACATAACAGAGTTAACTGTGTCGCCAATGATACCCCCCATGCGTTGCTTGAGTTAATTCCTGAGAACTCAGGTGTTATTCCTCTGTACCCTGTAAATTCACTGCCATATTTCACCCAAACCAAAACACAGCCGTGCAAACACAACTGCATCACGGTAGAAACACAAATGGGACAGAGGTACCCAAGCAATCGACTTTTGTACAAAGTCTCCCTCTAGTAAATTTTCATCATTAATATAATTTATCATGACCTAATTATAATAGGGGGGAAAGAATCGTTAGTAATGCAGACTATCAGTCCCATTGGTAGCAATATACCCTGTCAGGTCGACCTCCACATGGTCCCTCCTGGATACCATCACATTGAATTCCAGGTGTACTCATCATGATAGTCTGATCTGTCTTTTAATCTCACCTTATCATCTCTCACTGGTTCTCCACCAGCGTATACCGTTAGCGCAGGTGGAGTTACCAGTCCACTGTCATCCATTAAAAAAAAACCTAATTATAATGTATTTAATTTTATTATTAAGTCCTTAATTGTATTTCTCTTAATGCGAACAATTGTTTCAAATCGATACTCACATCTTTAATATTGACTTTAAGCACATTACTCATATATGAGGGAAGTTCGGTGAGAAGGGTCCAGAACCCTAAACTTTGGCCACAATGAGCAATCAGTATAGCCCAGAAGGGTAATGATGTCCAAATTCCCTTCCACGGAGTAGATAATTTCTGAAATGCAATAATTAAATGTGTTAACAAACATAACAAAAATACGACCTCCTTTTTTTGAAGTTGGTTGATAATAAATATTTTTTAAAGTATATTCAATTTATAAAAAAAAAATAATTAATAATAGTAAATTATTAATAAACTATTAATCATTAATAAGTCAAGTAGTAGGTGGAGGGGGGGGGGGGATTGTTAGTAATGAAATCTAACTGACCCATTGCTAGCAATACACCGTATCAGGTCCTCAGGCCTATGGCGGTAGCCATAAATTATGTAGTAGTCTTAGATTATATTGATAAAAAAAAATCATCAAGAAATTTATTATCGATTATAATTAATTTAATAATTATTTTATAAAAAATCAAACAATGTTTAGGCGTTACGTATGAATGCCTAAAAACTTAGCTGAGTGGTGACACAAGTTTGGTCGCATAATTTCAAATTTTTTTTTATGGGTGAAAATGGTATGGTAACCCCGCCTGCGCTAACGGGATACGCTGGCGGAGCACCAGTGAAGGGTGATAGATGAGAATGAAAACAGGCCAGTTAGCCCATCATGATGAATTCATCAGGAATTAACCATGATAGTTTACAGGAAGAACCGCGATGAAGTCGACCTGGTTGGATATATTGCTAGCAATCGGATTCTCAGACTGAGAATCCCATTACTAACAATCCCTTTCCCCCCATAATTTCTAATTAGGTATAAGTTTATTTTTGTATGTCCATTTTCTTTAAGTTTATAATTGTTTATGTTTTAGTTGTAATTGTTATTGGTATGTGCCAAGTAAATATTTTTCTTTCTTTCTTTCTCGCTTTCTTTCTTTCTTTCTTTATATTACAATTTGAAAACTGTGAATGTACCTTGTGCGATTCAATGTCATTTGAGGCAGCATTCGTTTCTATGTACTTCCTCTCCTCTTTCGATATCCACCTGCTGGTACCAGGTGTGGATGAGCCGAGCACCACCCACGCTGCTGACCAGGCGATGCAGCTGATACCAGCCACGTAGAACACCGAAGGCCAACCCCACCGGCTGGCCGATAGCAAACTGGACGTCATCATTTCAATTATTGTTCCTAATTGAGCACCTGAAAATAAATATATTTGAAACACACTTACATATAATAAAGATTTATTTCCTTATTCAGAAAAACTAAAAGTTTAACAAATCTATTTCAAGGAGGGGAAAGGGATTGTTAGTATTGTTAGCATTGCCAGCAATACACTGGGAGACTTTGTACAAAAGTCGATTGCTTGACACCTCTGTCCCATTCGTGTTTCAACCGTGAAGCAGTTGTGTTTGCATAGCTGTGTTTCGGTTTGAAGGGTGGGATATGGCGTGAATTTACAGGGTACAGAGGAATAACACCTGAGTCCTCAGGAATGGCAACGCATGGGGGGTATCATGGGCGAAACAATATACTCTGTTATGTCCATGGTACTGCTCATGTCTATAGACGACGGTTACCACTTTGCATCAAGTGTCATTACCAGTATATTTTATTTGAAAACGTATTTTATCCATAATTTGAATTATAGCTCTATTGTTGCTTTTATTTTTCTATTTGCAAAATATGTTTTCATTCCAATATAATTTGATGGAAAGAAAGAAAGAAGAAGATAAGACTTTGGTCTTCTTTTGTTTTGCAATCCAACCTCGAATTCACTAACTTATCTCTGCAAAGGAAGCGAGTTGATATAACTTTAAGCAAATCATAGAACTCCGGCCAAGTCGGTAGTTACTAACATTCTGAACTATGATTTTATGACATTAAAACTTCGGCAAAAATTATGAAAATCTATTCAGTTGAAATGAAAGGACGTCCGCTTACACAACTTTATTGTACAATAGTACGGCAATGTTTGAGTTATTGTTCAAGTTCCTAATTTAATTTGCCTGTAAAGTATTCTATTGGAATAAATATATTTTTGCATAATTTTACATACATTTTTTTTTATACAACTTATTTTGGCAAACAAGCTAACGGTCCACTTGATGGAAAGTGATAACAGTCGCCTATAGACATGAGCAGTACCATGGACATAACAGAGTACATGCGTTGCCATTCCTGAGGACTCGGGTGTTATTCCTCTATGCCCAGTAAATTCACACCATATCCCACCCTTCAAACCGAAACACAGACATGCAAACACAACTGCTTCACGGTAGAAACACGAATGGGACAGAGGTATCCAAGCAAACGACTTTTGTACAAAGCTTTTGACTCTGGTAAGCTGTTCTGATTAATGAAAATTGGTACTCTACTACTGTCACTGCTACTACTGTTAGGCGACGGTTACCACTTTCCATCAGGTGGGCCGTCAGCTTGTTTGCCATTCTAAGTTGTATGAAAAAGAAAGAAAAAATGCTTGCTCGCCATTCGAAGTTCCTTTAAAAATACTGTAATTTGGATAATATATTTTAATTTTTAATGAACTAAAGTGACATGGGTATTCAGAAGAGATCATTACCTGACATATTAATCCAACAAAAGGACATTCCAGTTAAAACGTCCTTTTGAGGGATATCTCTTATTACACGACGTACATATCAAAGTTTTAATTCGCAATTTATAACCGTCTTTGTGTTTGTGTGTTTGCATGTTATATATACTAGATACTAATTCTTCCTCTGTAAAATATCTTTTATCCGTTCCCGTACGAATTTCAGTAATTTCTTTCTTAGCATCTACTACCATCCTGATTTTTTTTTTAATGGATGATAATGGAATGGTAACCCCACCCGCGCCATCGGCATACACCGGTGGAGCACCAGTGAAGGATGATAGGTGAGGATGAAGCAGGTCAGTTAGCCCATCGTGTCGAATTCAACAAGAATTGTTCACGATAGTTGCCAGGGAAATCGCGTGAAGGTCGGCCTAATGAGGAATATTGCTAGCAATGGGGCTGTCAAACTCCATTGCTAACAATCTCTTTCTCCCCTTATCATCATGATTATCAACTTATCAGCCTGTAACTGTTCACTGATTAACATAAGCCTCTTTCAAATAGACAGTTTACGTAACGTGTATTTGGTTTTGTTGTTTCTCCAATTACATCATTACCATTTCAGCTTTTAACTATCCACTGCTGGGGGGAAGGGATTGTTAGTAATGCTGGCTGCCAGTCCCATTGCTAGCAATACACCCCGTCAGGTCGATTTCCATCTGGTTCCCCCTGGAAACCATCGTGCTGAATTTCAGATCTATTCATCACGATGAGCCAACTGACCTGCTTTCCCATTTTCACCTATCATTCCTCACTGGTATTTCGTCATTGTATACCGTTAGCGCAGGCGGGATTACCATTCTGTTATTATTTATAAAAAAAAATATCCACTGTTGAACATAGACCTCCTCTTTGAGGGGTTTGGCTAGTAGTTGCCACGTTTGGCAGGCGAGTTGGCTTTGGTTGTGTTTTAAAAGAAGCGCTGCTGTCCATTTTCAACCATTAAGTTCTTTAAAAAATCTAAATACACTTCGAAAGAATTCATTGAATCAAGGTTTTGCTTACCAGCATACACGAATGTTCCCAGTCGGCTCCTCTCAGCTTCTGGTGCCCAGTGTCCTAGAAAACCATGTACACAGGGATACAGGAGGCCCTGTGTCAGCCCCATGGCAATACGGCACGCACACACTGCTATCCAGTTACCCTGTAAATGAAGAAACGGGGACATTTGCAAGAAAAGAAAGACGCTTGAAAATTACCTAAATTTTGAAACAACTTTCAAAAGAAGTTTTTTCAATTTAATTGACTCTTTCCCGCCTTCAAAAGGAAGAAGAATTTCAATCAATTTGGTAATATTTTTTTTAAGTTTTTTTCCTAATAACTCTGTCGGTTAATTATTTAATTATAAATTAATTTATAATTATTTTTTGTCTGACAGAATGTATTAAAACTTATGTTAGTTTTTTATCTGATATTATACTTATATATTTTTTCCTAATTGTGATTATTTCTTGTAATTTTTTGTATTTATAATAAGTTTACTATTGTAATCTTTTGGAGGAAACAATAAAGAGCATCTATCTATCTATCTCTATAACGGGAAAATAATAAACTCATTACGTTTTTATTATTTCCAAATTTGCAATGCGAGGCGAGACGCTGTGATGCAAAGCGCCAAACGTCCCTGAAGAAGACTTCCGAATGAAGTCGAAAAAAAATGTCGGAAACGACAAAAACACAGTGAGTTCGTTTTTTTTTTATACAACTTAGAATGGCAAAGAAGCTGACGGCCCACCTGATGGAAAGTAGTAACCGTCGCCTAGCAGTAGTAGCAGTACCATGGACATAACAGAGCATACTGTTTCGCCCATGATACTCCCTATGCGTTACCATTCCTGAGGACTCAGGTGTTATTCCTCTGTACCCAGTAAATTCACGCCATATCCCACCCTTCAAATCGAAACACAGCCTGCATGGCTTTAACACAACTGCTTCACGGTAGAAACACGAATGGGACAGAGGTACCCAAGCAATCGACTTTTGTTTGTACAAAAGTCGATTGCTTCTTGTCTCCCTCTGGTAATTTCTCATTACGTTTATAAATAGATTACAAGATATACTAACCAATATGTTATATTTATAGAAATTTTATCAAAATCTATTCGGTTGTTTAGTTTTTAATTGACTTAAAAACTAAACAACCGAATAGATTTTACCGTAAAGAGTGATCAGTTTTACTATAATTAAAGTTGGTATTTCGTGGAACACAATCTTATTTCTTTTTTAATTTATTCTTTAATTCATCATCATCATATCAGCCTTCAACTACTCACTGCTGAATATAAAACTCCCTCTTGAGGAGTTTTTCTAGTAGTTGCCAAGCTTGGCAGGCGAATTGGTAACCGCAGTTAGGCTTTGGACATGTTTTACGAGGTACGTTGCTGCCTATGTCTCGCCCTTCCTTAGTCGCTTCTTATGATATTCACAGGAAAGGAAGTGGTGGCCTATTCTATGCTGGGACCACACGATCAACTGAGTTATGAGAACGTGATAACGTATTGAGAATCCTAATTCAATCTGTCAGCGAGGTAATCATTGAGCCAAATCAAACGAGGCTTCGAATTAAGAAATTTTTAAGTGGAAAAATTAAACGGACAATGAAAAGGAACTTTCTATCATTCCAAACTTCAAGACGTTGAACAATTTTATCTAAATGATTACCAATAACTTAAAAATATTATCCAAGTAGTAAACCGAGTCAAGTCTACAAATTACGTCGGCCTATCTCTTAGCGGTGCTGCTTGAGAAATGGGGCCAGTAATAAAGATTCCAAATGTGGGATCTACGTAATTCGTCTTCAAGATTTCGCCTGTGAGGCATGGAAAGACGATGTTCCATTTCAGATTAAATCTTTTATTTTTTCTTTATATATATATATATATATATATATAAATATGGGATAATTTATTGGCTTGATCATGTGGAACAGATAAAATTAAGAATTTCAGAAGGAATATTATTTCTGATACTGTAGTTCAAATTTTTTTTTATACAACTTAGAATGGCAAACAAGCTGACGGTCCACCTGATGGTAAGTGGTAATAAGTTAATAACAATGTTAGCAAAGGCGAACTTATCTCTAAAAGAGATTTCTTCCAGTCAACCTAACACAGTGGCATAGGAAGTAGTGAGTATTTATTTACATAAATTACAAATCATTATATACATTTGAAAGATACAATATTAATACATACATTTTTTTTATACAACTTAGCATGGCAAACAAACTGACGGCCCACCTGATGGAAAGTAGTAACCGTCGCCTATAGACATGAGCAGTACCATGGACATAACAGAGTATATCGTTTCACCCATGATACCCCCCATGCGTTGCCATTCCTGAGGACTCAGGTGTTATTCCTCCGTACCCAGTAAATTCACGCCATATCCCACCCTTCACAGCCATGCAAACACAATTGCTTTACGGTTGAAACACGAATGGGACAGAAGTACCCAAGCAATCGACTTTTGTATAAAGTCTCCCTCTGGTGCTACATATAAATATAAATCTACATAAATAAGATATATATATATATATATATATATATATATATATATATATATATATATATATATATATATATATATATATATATATATATATATATATATATATATATATATATATATTTATATGTTAAATACAACATATAAATATCAATTAAAAGAGAACACCACCCACGGGAAGTTTAGATGTATACAAAAATGTTTGTATGTATTAGTAGTTTGTATATTAATAAATTAGTATATATAAAACAGTGCGCTACCTACGCTTTGTCTTTTATCTCAATGTCCCCTACCCAAAGGTGGTCTGGAAGAGATTGCTTATCGATAAGGCCGTCTATTGTACCAATAAAATTCACTGTATTTATTGCTTTTTAAATAGTGCAATAAAGTGTGAATAAATTTATTTAATGTACATTCAATAAATTTACAGGGTACAGAGGAATAACACCTAAGTCCTCAGGAATAGCATGCGGGGTATCATGAGCGAAACAGTATACTCTGTTATGTCCATAGGCGACAATAAGATTGGCGATTTTCTTCTGTTCCATTCGTGTTTCAACCGTAAAGCAGTTGTGTTAGCATTGCTGTGCTTCGGTTTGAAGGGTGGGCGTGAATTCAAATGGCGTGAAATTACTGGGTACGGAGGATTAACACCTGAGTCCTTAGGAATGGGAATGCATGGGGGGTATCATAGGCAAAACAGTATACTCTGTTACGTCCATGATACTGCTCATGTATATAGGCGACGGTTACCACTTTCCATCAGGTGGACCATCAACATGTTTGCCATTCTTAATTGTATAAAAAATAAATAAATAAATTATTACCTAGGTCGTTATAAAACATACAAATCATAGTAATAATAAATTCAGCTTAGAAAGGCCTATTTCAATAACGCTTACTGTTTTCTTTTGTCTGATCTATTTTTGTTTAAATTCAGTTATAAATCTATAATATCTAGACTAAATAACATCTACTTTATTTTTTATAATATTACTATTTAATAAAATATTATTATATATTCTGTAATATTTAGTAAGGATTTATTACCAGCGGGAGATTTTATACAAAATTGTGTATGTAGGCTGAATTAATATGTAAGAGCGATCTCTCTCTCTAAAATTCTGTTTGTATCAATCAAATACGAAAGCCTTACTTGAATACTATGCTTAATATGTGTATGTAAGTCAGAGATAATTTATTATTTCATCTCTAACTAGTAATCCAGCCTGGCTTCGCATGGATAGATAAAATTTACAGGATACAGAGTAATAACACCTAAGTCCTCAGAAATGGTAACGCATATGGGGTGTCATGGGCGAAACAGTATACTCTGTTATGTCCATGGTACTGCTCATGTCTATAGACGACGGTTACCGCTTTCCATCAGGTGGACCGTCAGCTTGTTTGCCATTCTAAGGTAATGATAATCATAAATGTAATAATTATTTATTAATTAATAACAGAAGCATAACATCTTAGTCCTCAGGAATGGCAACGCATGATATCATACGCGACGCAGTATACTCTTTTATATCCATGTTACTTTTTGTATCTATAGGCGATGATTGCCACTTTCCATCAGGCAAACCGTCAGTTTGTTTGCTATTCTTGGTTGCATAAAAAAAACCTATTCCAGCATCGTCAACATAAGAGCAGTGGCGACTCTAAACGTAGTGATTACTTGATCAGTGTTTACCACGTCTGTCGGAAAAAAAAATCTACAGTTACGTAAAAAAGAAAAAAAATATTTTATTTCGGCCGGTATGCTTCTTAACAGGCCGTTTAAACAAATTACAGTACTTTGTTTCAATCGCTCGCGGCGGCACAACGACGCATTCCCCGCGATAATTTCAACCGGAATGTTTTTATTATTCACTACCTCAATATCTTTCGGTGATTTAGTACATTTGCAAAATGTTTTATGCGGTATTTATTTTATTCAACCATTATCCGTCCACTGCTGGACATCAGCCTGCCCTATAGACTGCCATAAGAAACTGTCCTGAGCCACCTACATCCACTGACTCCCTGCAATGCATTTCAGGTTGTCACTTCATCCAAACCCCCCAGGTCATCCTACATTGCGTTTGCGCGTACGGAGTCGCCACTCAATAACCTGTCATCCCCATTAGTTGTCGGTTCTTCGAGCTATGTGACCAGCCTTTTATCATATCAGCTTGTTTATCCTTTTGACTATATATTTAATTTAAATATTCAAATGATCCTTATTGAAATATTGTTAACAAGCACTTTTAAATTGTCATTTCTTTTTACTCTACTGCAGGGTTCGGAAAGTTGTTATCAGTTGTGAAGATAGATAGATAGATAGATAGATAGATGACATTCATTACCTTTACTAAGAAATTAAAACAACAAAAAGGAAAAAAAAACAAGTAATGTTGCTGGTAATAGGAGCCGCCTCAGCTATTGCTATATATGTACAGCTCCAGCGAGATGTACCTATATAGCGCTGATTTTCAGGCGGCCCCTTAACTTCTTTACCTTTAGCATGCGTGCGGATCGCTAATACCTATTTCTCGGATGGGAGACTCAACACGCTTACCAACAAATACATAATACATTACAACACATACATAAAACATTACAATAAATACATAAAACATTACAACAAATACACAAAAAATTACAACCAAAACCGAGAAGAATAAACTCTGAATAAATTATCGCACTTCACAATGACAGCATCATAAAAAAATAAAAAAAGAACGTGCCTGCAAGAAACTCAACAGTTACTCTTTTAAATTTCTGTTAACATTGTGTGTATTAATTTAAATGTACTATATCTAAAATTACATGGTCGTTAAAAGCTCGTGCGTGATTGACTAACACAATGCATATTTGTCATTCAATAGGGAAACATACAATTCATACATTCAAATATACATGTGTTTCAAACACATAAATAATAAATACAGAAATAACATAAATCAGTGAAGTTTGCACAATAAACTTGTACAATAAATAAACGAGAGCAAATGATTAAGTGACAAAAAAAAAACCATTCTTAACGTTACAAAAAATAAATGTAAAAATAACAACTCTAAAATGATTTCTCCTTTTTGATTCCGCAAGGAATTTGCGGAAATCAAAAAGGTAAAATCAAGTTCTCGTGTTTTTAGGGTTTCGTATCTCCAAAGGAAAAAAACTGAACCCTTATAGTCCGTAAGTCCGTCGGTTAAGACCCCTTTTCTCAGGAACGCGTGGACTATTTCAAGCGCTGTAGCATAGCCACATAAAAAAGGTTAAATAACGAAATCTTGTGTTCCTGGTGTAACCTTTTATTGTATTTATAGAAATACACGGTTTTACATAATTAGTCGGCATATAGCTGCATGACTGTACGACAACAACAACCAAACATAGAGTAGTAATTAAAATATATAATCTGACCGGTGTTGACACTTAGCAACTGTGTTAGCAACACTCTGTCATGTCCATGGTACTGCTCATGTCTATAGGCGACGGTTACCACTTGCCATAAGGTGGGCCGTCAGCTTGTTTGCCATTCTAAGTTGTATAAAAAAAAACTGTCACATGACAGTTGCGTTCAGTAATTTAATGATTATATGCAAGTATTGTACAGCGACTTTGTTTTATTGTATTAGAAAAAAAAAACCGGTCCACAATTGACGGAAATATGTAAAAAAAATATGCAGTCGAACATAGAACCTACTTTATTTGATGTAGGTCAAAGATACGCATACTCACATGAACTGCAGCGACTGGCACCAACAAATTTACGATTCCCGTGCACACCATACCACCGAGGATCAGGAAATTGCCACCGAATCTCCCTGCCAGCATCCCAGCAGGGACCTGTAGCACGATGTATCCCCAGAAGAAGGATGAGAGGATCGTATCTTGAATGCTCTTCTCCCAATCGAATACCTGGAATAAAAAAAAAATAGTTAATTTTAAACTTTTGCATTGTTTATACATATTTTAAATACACAATTGAGACTTGAGGCGATGAAATAACCTTTACAGATAAATAGTACTTACATACCTGCTTCTTTATTGCCGACGTTTCGACGTGGATTGCACCACGTCGTGGTCATGACAAAATCGTGAATTTGTAGCCGAAAGAGAAAGTTTTTTATCTCAAATTGTCTATATTTTTTTTTATCAAATAATCGAGTCATAAATTAAATTTATAATAATTTGAATTTAAACCTATTAGAAATTAAATTCATATTGATTCTAAGAATAAAAATTTCGCTCTGTAATTAAATTGTAAGTTTAATTTTTAAAATCATCATCATCATATCATGCTTTAACTGTCCACTGCTGAACATAAGCCTCCCCCTTGAGGGGTTTTACCAGTAGTTGCTACGCTTGGCAGGCCTATTGGCAACCGCAGTTAGGTTTTGGAAATATTTTAAGAAGCTGCTATCTATCCTTCGCCCTCCCTTAGTCGCCTCTTACGACACTCAAGGGAAAGGAAGGGGTGGCCTATTCTATGCTGGAACCACACGGGAAGATAAACATAATGTAATCAATAGAAATAATATTATCGTTGCTTTTAAAAGTAACAGATATGGTACGTCATTGAAAAACCTAAATCTATTTTAATTAAGTTACATGGAAATTTAAAATACGTAAGTAAATAAAGGAGTTCCTGCTCACCTCAATACAAAAACAATTTACATTATGTAAATTACATTTTATAAAAATAAAACTCTTCTGCATAATATCTACAAGTATGTAGGTGAATAGATAACGAAAATGAAAGTACCAAGGTTAATACGTTATTTCCACTTTGCAATAATACACATTTCAGTAGAACCGATAAAACTGTTATAACGTTTTTCAATAAATAACGCCATCTAGTAGCATTTCACAGGAATTAATGATGCCAATATCCATTGATGTTTTCAAGCGATAAGTAAAAGATTATCTTCTCATATATGTATCTTCTCTTACATCGTAGTTGATTATAAGTTTGCACTGTTTTTGAACGAGATTTTATATCCATCTTTATCACCAGTCGAGACCAGGACACTTGTAACAGAAATCAGATATAGCAGACTCAGAAAATATCTCGCTCATAAAATGTTCAAAGTATATCGAATGTGAAATAAAAATCCACAGGAAAAGCCATGGAACAACAAATTAATGGTGCGAGATGTCATAAGACGAATGCGGAATTACTCGCGGAACGTAATACCTCAGGTGGAAATGGAAGTTTGCTCCTTGCGGTAGGATTTTGTCAAGACATTTAAGAGTCATTTACAGCGTTCCAACACGGTGCACGTATCTAACGACTCCATTTAGACTCCCATGACATTTACACGTGATACCCGCTCCAGTCGTCGTTTTAAAGCGAATGTACCACTTGAGACATCTCAGGGAGCCTCTAAGTATATAATATTCGATGTTGGTGATAATATTTTGGAATATAAACGTCGACGTTACCGAAGACTATGATTTTTAATCGTTTAGGATTTTGTTCTTCGAAAAGTAAAAACAGAACACTTCAGAAATACCTTATAACAATAGTTATATTTGAAATCATTTTACCAGATGGAGACTTTGTACAAAAATGAGCAATACCATGGATATAACACAGTATACTGTTTCGCTCATGATACCTCCTATGCGTTGCCATTCCTAAGGACTCATGTGTTATTCCTCTGTGGCCTGTAAATTCACGCCATATCCCACCCTTCAAACCGAAACACAGCCATGCAAACACAACTGCTTCACGGTAGAAACACGAATGGGACAGAGGTACCCAAGCAATCGATTTTTGTACAAAGTCTCCCTCTATATTTATACTTTGTCCATTTATGGGTTAATCTACCAGCAGTAGGATATTAGAATGTAGCAATTATGGGTTAAAATTAAAGCTCACCGGATATTCATAATCATTGGGGCTGGTCATGGCGACGATAGCGACACTCATGCTGACCCGGGTAGCGTACGACACCGTGATCGCGAGGAATAGAAGGAACGCGATCACGTGACGCATGCCGAAGGTGCTGTCTGGAAAGATGAAAAGGAAAGTTGAATAATATGTTTAAATACAAATTTATTTAAATATGCGGTGTTTCAGAAATAGGGAAATAGGTAAAAATTTATATATATATATATATATATATATATATATATATATATATATATATATATATATATATATATATATATATATATATATATATTATTAGGATGGCAAACAAGTTGACATCCCACCTGATGGAAAGTGGTAATCGTCGCCTATAGGCATGAGCAGTTCCATGGACGTAACAGAGTATACTGTTTCGCCCATGATACCCCCCAAGCGTAGCCATTCCTGAGGACTAAGGTGTTATTCCTCTGTACCCTGTTATTTAACTGCCATATCCCACCCTTCAAATTAAAACACAGCCATGCAAACACAACTGCTTCACGGTAAAAACACGAATGGGACAGAGGTGCCCAATGAAACATCTTTTGTGGAAAGTCTCTCTCTGGTGTCATATACATATTAATTTATTTAGCTGCCCTATTTATCTACCAGCTTACAATTAATATAACCCATTCCTGTTTTATATTTGGGCAATATATATTTCTATCTATAGATATATCCGTGTTATCTCGCGATAGACAGGTTATTGGAGAAAGCCAACAACAATTGACGATGCAATCAATAACATAGAAGTTACTCTAATAAGTCACTATATTGGAGTTGACGTGGTAAAATAAAAAGAAAAAACATCACCGTGTAATTGGTTCTAGTTTTATCGAAAAAAAAAATTGTAGGATAAAATTCAGGTCATTGGCACTAAAGGTGGGTAATATAATCATATCAGCCTTTACTGTCCACTGCTGGACACAAGCCTCCTCTTTGATAGGTTTTGCCAGTAGTTGCCACGTTTGGCAGGCGGATTGGCAACCGCATTTAGGCTTTAGAGATGTTTTTAGAAGCTGCTACCTATCTTTCACCCTCCCTTAGTCGAATTTTATAACAGCCACGGAAAAGGATTTTTTTTTTTTTTTACAACACAGGGGGCAAACGAGCATGCGGCTCACCTGATGGTAAGTGACTACCGCCGCCCATGATCACCCACAACACCAGCGGCATTGCAGGTGTGCTGCCGGCCTTTTAAAAAGGAATATACTCTTTTCTTGAAGGTTATGTTGTCGTATCGGTTCGGAAATACTGCTGCTGGAAGTTGATTCCAAAGAATGGTTGTGCGTGGAAGAAAGTGCCTTGAAAAACGCACGGTGGAAGACCGCCACTCGTCCAGATGATTGGGATGAAACTTTAGTTTGTGGCGGGTTGTACGGTGGTGAAAATCAGCAGCAGGTATCAATCCGAACAATTCCTCAGAACACTCCCCATGATAAATTCGGTAGAAGATGCACAGAGACGCAACATCTCTGCGCAGTTTCAATGGGTCAAGTCGGACAGTAAGGCGTTGACTATCGATAATTCGAGCCGCCCGACTTTGAATGCGGTCTAACGGAAGGAGTTGGTACTGTGGCGCTCCTGCCCACAGGTGAGAACAGTATTCCATATGCGGCCTGACTTGGGCTTTATATAATTTCAGGCGGTGTTCTGGCATGAAATATCGTCTCACCCTATTGAGCACTCCTAACTTTTTAGAAGCTATCTTAGCCTTCTCCTCTAGATGACCGCAAAACTGGACGTCGCAAGATATATCAACGCCCAGAATTCCTAGACTTGACTTTTTATCAAGGGAAGTGCCCTGAAAGTGAGGAGATACGACAAACGGCGTCTTTTTTGCGGTAAACGCGCAGACTTGTGTCTTTTTGGGGTTAAATTGGACAAGATTTTGTTCACCCCAGATCGAAACTTGATGGAGTGAAGTTTCGATTTCAGACACAAGTCTATTCCGGCACTCATCGGTATGTGCCCGCGAGATCTTTGCATGACCGGTATATAATGTATCTCCTGTACTGTCGTCCGCATAGCAATGAATATTACTTATCTGTAACATATCATTGATATGCAGAAGAAACTGAGTCGGAGATAGTACACAGCCTTGCGGGACACCAGCATTCAAAGGTTTTAAATCAGAGCATGCACCGTCGACTACGACCTTAATGCTACGTTCCTTGAGAAAACTGGCGACCCAAATGCACAGTCTCGCAGGCAACCCAAATGAAGGTAGCTTTGAAAGCAGCGCTCTATGCCACACCCGATCAAAGGCCTTCGCAATATCCAGACTAACTGCTAAGGCCTCTCCCTTACTCTCGATTGCCACTGCCCATCGGTGTGTTAAGTAAGCTAAAAGATCACCGGCCGAACGTCCCTGTCGAAAGCCGTACTGGCGATCACAGATCAGCCGGTGCTCTTCTAGGTACCGGAGCAGTTGACGGTTAATGATGGATTCCATAACCTTCGAGAATAAGGAAGTGATAGCTATGGGCCTATAGTTAGCTGGATCTGAGCGATCTCCTTTTTAGGGATCGGATGCACCAGAGCAGTCTTCCAAAACTTTGGGACTATGCCCGATGAGTAGCTAAGCCGAAAAAGACGCGTAAGAACCGGAGCCAACTCTGGTGCGCACGTCCTAAGCACAATTGGAGGAATACCATCAGGCCCACTCGACTTATGGATTTCGAGGGAGAAAAGTGCTCTACGCACTGAGCTATGCGTGAATTTAATGTCAGGCATAGAGCTCCTACAACACGTGATGGTCGGTGGTGTTTTCTCCCCGTCATCCAATGTCGATTTTGACGCAAAGATGGATCCAAGAAGATCGGCCTTTTCTTTAGCGTTCTGGGCCAACGAGTCATCCTCCCTGCGCAAAGGTGGAAAAGATGACTTACAGAAATTCCCTTGTGCAGCTTTGGCAAGAGACCAGAAAGCTCGAGTCCCAGAGGGCAAACTAGCCAATCTCTTGCCAATTCTACTAATATGCTCTGACTTCGCTGTGGCTATAACTCTTTTGAAGGACCTAGAGGCAGAGTTATACTTCTTTTTAAGAGCACTGGTGTTAGGATCTCGCGACGCCACACCTTTAGCCCAGGTTAGGAAGCACTCCTGTTTCAGACGAGATGCTGTTCTACAGGAGGCTCCATACCAGGGCTGGGATTTCCCGCCGACGGGCACCACAGAGTTAGGAATAAATAATTCCATTCCCTGAAGCACCACATCAGCAATGGAATCGGCAATGGCGTCGGGATCATCCAGTGTGAAGCAAACCCGCCCCCATGGGTAAGATGCGAAAAAAATCCGCATCTCATCCCAATCTGCCGACCTGTAGTGCCAAATGCGACGTCTACCCGTAGAACGAGGTGGAGTCGGACTCGTAAGAGGCACTTCGCTCCGCACCAAACAGTGATCCGACGATCCAAGCGGGGCTTCGACGGAGATCACATAGTTGTCTGGGTGGGTGGTCAGCAGAAGGTCCAGCAGTGAAGGTGAATGGTCCAACACATCAGGGATTCGCGTAGGCGAGGAAACAAGCTGTGTCAGACCATAAGCCAAAGCAAAGTCATGAACAGATCTTCCCGCATAGTCGGTTGTACGCGAACCAAGCCATTCGGCATGGTGGGCATTAAAGTCGCCAACAATCACGACTTCAGCGGAAGGAATCTGCTCAAGCAGGGAATCTGTAGCCATTTGGACGTGCTCAATTAGTTGGTCGGTTTCAGTGTTACCGCTGTGGGACCTGTATAGGCACGCATAGATGCGGGGATGGTCATTGCAATCTACGCGCAGCCATAGAATGGATGGCCTATGGGGTGGCCTATTCAATCCCGGGACCACATGGCCGTTCTTTATGGCAATCTATGGGCAGTGGATGGATATCATCTGATATGATGATGATGAGATACAAGAAATGGTATATGACACTATGATATGGCGTGAATTTACTGGGTACAGAGGAATAATATCTGAGTCCTCAGGAATGGTAACGCATGCGGGGTATCATGGGCGAAACAGTATACTCTGTTATGTCCATGGTACTGCTCATGTCTATAGGCGATGGTTACCACTTTCCATCAGGTGGGCCGTCAGCTTGTTTGTCATTCTAAGTGGTATAAAAAAAAAATCACTTTTCGGTATATGTGTATGTAGGTACATTATTGTATGTGTGTTTATTTTACAATTGAATAACACATACAACTTCCTGGCACGTATATAGCTGATACCTTTGTGTCCATAACGAGTTTTTTTTTATAGACCATTGTTTATATAATTCGGTCGCCATGCGTCAAAATGTTTTTTTTTTTTTTTTTTTATTGGCACTGATGTATAAATCGATGACCCATAAAATTGAAAATTAAGTTTTTTTTTTATTGTGAAAATTAAAAAAAAAAATTGGATGTTTGTTACTCAGTTATGTCAAAATAAGTGAATGGATTTGTATCAAAATTTTGTACCTGTATAGATGGTTCATACACTAGAGTTCTTAGATTAGTACATAGTAGGCCGTCGACTGTTTACTATTGAACATAGTTGGTACATTTGGCAGGAGGTTGGCAGTCGTAATTAGACTTTGGTGAAATATTAAGAGGAACACTGCTGGTGTCGATCCTTTACTTTCCTTAGTCGCCTCTTACGACATTCACAGGAAAGGAAGGTGTGGACCATTCTATGGTGGGACCACACGGCTGACCTATACATACTTCACAATAATTGTTGCTTCTCTTGCAAAATCTTCAACAGATTTAAAATAATACATTCATCATCATTATAATCATTGATATGCCTTTAACTGTCCACTGCTGAACATAAGCCTCCCCTTTGGGAGGTTTTGCCAGTAGTTGCCACGTTTGGCAACTACTGGCAAAAAGGCTTTAGAGATGTTTAAAGAGGGACGCTGCTACCCATCCTTCGCCCTTCTTTAGTCGGCTCTTATGACACCCACGAGAAAGGATGGGGTGGCCTATTCTATGCCGAGACTATACGGCCATAAAAATACATTATAAAAACCTATTAAGTATACTCGTAATAATTTCTCTTATAAATGTCTTTTGAATCTCGCAACAAAATAGAACAGTATTATATATCTAGAAAAAAAGCCTCC